GCTGGAGAATCCAAAATTCTTAATGTGTCGTCCTGGGAGTGTTGTCGCATTTTATCGTCTGATTCTATGTCCAACGACAGGTGGAATGAGGACATGTCCTGTCCTCTCGGTGAAGCACGGATCTCGGTATATGTATATATATAGGGATGATGATAGTGGTTCTAACTCACACACGACAGACTGCAGGGTGACAACATACACACAGTGAGAGATGAGACTGCGTGCTGTTGTATACACAGTAGGAAAAAATGTATACACATAGAAAGAAAAACAAAAACAAAAAAAAAAAAAAAAACCCAAGAAAGAAAGAAACGGCCATGTGCCTGACTGAACTGCTAGAAAAAGCCAGCCCGAGTTTCAAACTGCTAAAAGCAGTTTCAAATACAATTGAAACTCGGGCCCTGACTAAACTGCTAAAACGCAGTTTCAAATGCAATTACAAACTGTAACCCTGACTGCGCGGTAGTTTTCTCTTTTTTTTTTTTTTTTTTTTTTTAACAAGTGCTCCAGTCTATTCGTGGGGAGCCGCACGTGCTGGGAACCGGGCCCAGCATCCGATCTCGAGTTATAGAGATCATTTGTGAACATTTGAGATCATTTGAGATACCGGGGCCATTACCCAGCTCCGGCTGTTGCTCATAATTATACGCATGAAGAATGGACCAAACTCGCTAGCCAAGGACGAAATGGATGAAGAACCCTAAATTCCTTAGGATTCGTCCTCGGAGTGTTTTCACATTTTCTTTCCGATTTTCTGTCCGAACGATGATGAAATCTTTTGAATCGCGTCCCCGAGGAGTCTCTAATGAGGCTAACGTTCTTAGGGGAAGTCAGGGCAAAATAAGTAGGTTTCGATTCTATTCACTGTTGGGAAATTAGGGAAAACTGGCAGTTTTCCCATTTTCCCCGCACACTTCGGACGTCAGGTAAGTTCGGCAAATGCCAAAGTTTCCCCAAAAAAAAAAAAAAAAACAAACGGGGAAAGGCGCGTGTCGGTCCATTTGCAGTCCAACGAAGGCAGGCCGGAAGTGGAAACGGTACCGRCAGCAGCGTGGCGGGCCACCGTCGGACCAACGGTCGTCCGTGGCTGGTTTTCGGAGGCAGCGACCGCGCGGACGGGCGACCAGTACCCGTGCAAATTCAACGTGCGGCCTGAAGCAAACTTCCGGCCGCTGCGACGACGGTGAGCGCCGCCGCTATCGCCCTTATGCCTCTCTCTCTCTCTCTCTCTCTCTCTCTCTCTCTCTCTCTCTCTC